TATCACTACTGTATTGCTATTGTTTACCTTCTGGTGTTGATATGTGCTTGGCAGTAAGAGGGCCTACTGTACGGCAGCTTGCAATTTGGCCGTGGTGGCGCGGAATCCTGGTGTTGCTTTTGATAGCTTATTTTCGTTCAAGGATTTGAGTATTTTGAGTCCGGGAGTCTGCATGCCCTGCCATCTTTAGTTGGGAGGATTCTGAGTGTATTGTAGAGACCATAATTAACATCCTTGTTGCAGATCCGTAGTACCATATATCACAAAATCATTAGCTTAGGCTCTTGGAGTATAATTAGAGATTTCTGGCTGAAGTTTGCGCTTTAAGGTCTGCTGGCTTGGGCTGGAAGATCTGAACGTCTAGTCCCCTCCCCTCAATAACAGGCCCACCACGGGTTTGGGGTTTAGGTTCCCAATATGGTGCCGTCACATCATGGCAATGTAGAGGGGTAAGTGTCAGTAAGTATTGGGGCGAGCTGGCGGGGGTACCATTATCAGTGGGAGGACATTCTTTCCGGAAAAAGTTCAGGTCACTTGAGCCTGGACCTGCCAAATAGATGCCATCATCATACAAGAGAATCTGTGATGCCAACGATGCGAATAGCTTTGCAGGCATGACAATTCACCAGTCACTATGAAACCTGGACCCCAAAGTGGCGTCCAACCCGAAAACACTCCGCAGCTCTGTTTGGAAGCTTGTATAGTTCTACTTTGATTGGGACACCCTGCTCTGAGCAGGGACGTAAATTCTGGACAAGAACCTGAGCCCAGGCTCAAAAGCAAAGCAGCCCCAATTCCCTCGAACGTGTATCCTCGCAATCCAGCTTTTGCTCGCTCTTCTGTCCCTGTTTTTCCTACGTGAGGTCTGAGATGAGGCTACTGAAGCCAGGTTTTTGTTCTGGGAAGTGGGAACTACATATCTTTCTTCCTTTGGCTTGAGTTTTTGTGGAATGAACAGCCGACGTAGAAGACATTCTTTGCCAGAGCCCTGCAGCCCGCAGGCACTGGATGACTCGGAAACCAGCAAGGACAGACAGCAATCAGGGCCTCAGGGCAGAGTGCCCATCTAGCATCAGGGTCCGGGACCATGACATCATAGGTTTTTGACCTGATTCGCGAGGGGAGGTTTGAGTTCGAGACTCCTGCAAGCTACTCTCTTTGCACTGGGAGTGAAAGTCCGCAGAGTGTGTGTGCAGATCTTATCTCAACGGCTGAGCCTTTCTTGTGATTGCTGGCGCTTGGAAAGCATAGACAGCAAGCGCCGAGAAGCAAGCAAGCCCTGCAAGACCGTTAGCATTTTCCAAGGCTCTGCCAGCCAAGGCCGTACCACGGAATTTGTGATTGGTGATCATTCATCTTAGGGCCACTGCGCCAAGATGCCTGTTGCTGGGACCACTCGAAATTCTACAGGCAGTGCTTGAGTGAAGAGCCAGCATTACAAGTCCCTTCACGACATCAAGCCCGCGAATTCTCACGTGATGTGACTTAGCAATGCAAGTAAAGGGACTTTACTGGGAACTCCAAACAGGGAACCCCAAGAATATAGTAGGAATATAATAGGAACATACCTAACCGGGTCCTTATATTCTATTATGCTCCCATTAAAGTCCCTTTAGCTTAGGCAGATGGGTACCTTCTGCAACCTGCAGGATGCCATGGACTTCACCACCTACCTCCACATCCTGGGAGTGATCGCCAAGAAGGCATGGCCAGCACTGTCGCTTTTGGGGTTGCGGCAGTTCTTAAACATCCATGGGCTGCGTTCCGCAATCGCAAGGCAAATCCCTGGACAACAGCCCAAACTTAACCCTCAGGTGAGCAGAAAGAACCCTGAACGTTTGTCAGCTTCTTGCCCCTGCTTTCCTCTAGGCAGCAAGGAATGATGGATCCTTATAGTAATCCCACAATAGAATCAGAATTGTAATTTGCATTCCTTCATTCCCGGCTAAACCAGTAGTAGGCCCAAGAACATTGTAGCTGTGCAGGGTAAGCTCGTCCTCTGAGACGACGGATGACCGAGCTGTCCGCGAGTCAAATCCCCGAAGTGCATGGGGTTTCGGGGTTGGCGCAGACATGACTTTAGAGGGCGAATGTACGGATTGAATAGGGATGTTTAGATAAATAGAGTGTAGGCATTTTAAAGAGTTTTCATATAGAGGTCATGTAAGGGTTATGTAGTAGATTACGTAGCTGTTCAATTGGCCTTCCTTCAAGAAGAAGATCTCAGGATGTATAGCTGCGAAGTGTGCTTCTTGTTTCACACACCAGGCAAGGGCCAGCAACGCCGCCAGTGTCTCATATACTGACCAAGGGAGTAGGTGTAGCTTGGACTTTGAGGACATGCATGGGGCCTCAGTTTCGGCAGCTGCGCTGTATTCCCAGACAAAGACTCATTCAAATAGTTCCCTTTGCATAAGTCGACACCATTGAGCAATCGCTAACACAGAAACTGTGAGCTTCCTGGCATATTCGTTCCAGGCCATCAGGACTAATCTTTTCGGCACGCTCGCCTTGTAGCCTCTGCTAGCTGTCTCAGGTCCAAGCTCTGCAATTGCAGAGCACAGGGCTGTAGGAAGGCAGCGAAGGTGTCACTCAAAAAGTTGCCAGTGGCGTTGTCAGCATCACTGCTGGTGCCGGTATTGCTACAGTTCTTACTGTCACCACCAGGGTCAACAGTACAGTGGTCCAAGCAAACAATGTGACAACAAAGGTGGAGGTGCTTGTCAGCTTGCACTGCACGAAGTCCTGAAAACCTTTCAGTCTGCAGCTGAACTCCAGAGCTTTATTTTCTAGATTACAGCTTAATTGTAATTATGCATAGGGCCACCCAAAAGATGACGGCACGCACATGTTTCTTGGAAGTTTGTTGGGTCAAAGAGCTGAGAGCTCAGGGATGCTATCTGTCAGTTGTGTGTCCACTTCTGTGATGCGGGCCCAGGCTAAGCTTGTGAAGGAAGATCTGCGACACCCGCACTCAATGTACATAAAACATCTCGGAACAATTAGTGCTGCAGTATCAGGGGGCTCTGACAAACTCGCAAAGATAGGTTGCTTTGAACTGTGCGAGCCTCCCCTTAGGCCCTAGGCCCTAAACTTTCTGAACCCTGTACAGTTTGCCCTGAGCTGTGATGACCTGCTCCCAGTGCAAGATGGCCTTATTTGATGCCTCATAAGTAGCATGGGATGTTGGTGGGGTGGGGGTGTGTTTGACATCTAAAAAGCTTGAAGCCAAAACCCCACGACTGCTCGACTCAAATTCTAAATCACAACTCCATAGCCTGGAGCCCGAAATCTGAAAGTCTCAACCCCTCAATCCTCCCTTCAATATCTTAATAAGACATCAATTGCCAAAAAGTTGGGGTTTCCCAAAATTAGGGGTACTTTTTTTGAAGGCCCCCATAATAAGGATTATGGTATTTGGGGGTCTGCAGGGGGGGGCACCCTATTGAGGGAAAGTACCAAATCATTCTGGAGGGCCCGTGGGCATCCACGGTGCGCGGCTACGGCGGCCGGCCTCCGCAGATGCAGGCAACCTAAGCTGGCCTTTGGTTAGCTGAGAAGGGAGGCATGGAAAAGCAAATGGAACCTATTATAATGGGGTAATATAGGGTTTATTGAGGGTTTGGGGTTCAGGGTTTTTGGGTGGGAATGAAGGAATGGAAAAGCAAATGGAAATTACAACAATGGGTTATATAGTTATGTAGGGGCCAACTATAGGAATCCATTCCTTCATTCCTAGCTAGCCAAAAGTAAGTTTAGGGATTTTCAGGGACCCCTGGGGTTGCAAGAGGGTTGTGGAACCTGCAGAGAAGGGACATCTTTTCAATGGTCATAGAGCGCGTGTCGGGATTCTTCAAAGCAGACGTTATAACATGGCAGTGTATGGATCATGCCAGGAACTGTGGTTGGAAAGTAAAGAGTCCTTCAGGATGTCTCAGCCATGAGACTTCAGAGCAGCATGCTTACCAAACGTGGTATTGAAGGTGAGAATAAGGAGGGGAGAATGGAGTAGGCGTGCGGGTCGCAATGCTGATATCACGAGTAAAGGTATGTAAAGGTGGCAATGGTGGCCGTGGCGGGGCGGGGGCGGGGGCGGTGGTGGGGGCGGTGGTGGTCGTGGTGGTGGTGTGGCTGCTGACTGTGGCTGAGGTGGTAGTTTTGTTGAAGCTTCAAACTCTGATACCGGGCATGCTGGGCAGCAGCTTTCCGGAAAGTGATCCCCTGAAAGCAGCATGCACGATGACGTTTGCAAAGCTTAAAGTGCTTCTTCTTGCTTGGGGGCAAACATGGGCGTGTACACTCTGAGAGATGCATGAGATGTACCCTCAACCTGCTGGATCCTGGAATGGCGATCCAGCGTAGCTCATATATTATTACTACTACTACTACTACTATCATTGTGACTAGGTGCTACTATAGTTATCACTATCACTCTTACTAGTATTGTTGCTAGTACTTGTGACTAGTACTATTACTATTCTTGTGGTAACTGATCTGCAGCTTCGGCTCTCATTGTCACGCCCCTTTTCTTTTTTTCTTCTGGTTATTTGCTTGGGATTGACGCTCGGCCGCTGTCTTTCGGGTAGCTGGTTCTTCTTCATGATGCAGGACTTGCAGTACGGGGCTTAGGGCTTTTTTCGGATCTTCGTGCTTGGAAGTATTTTCCCAAAATAGCAATCTCTTCGCGATCATGAATCTTCTTATTGTTCTATCGCGCGTCAAACGCAAACTAGGGGCCGAGGAGGTGTTTCCTATGCAGCGGGGAGTCAGCATGTTGAAAGGATATGTTTCGACCTCAGAGTTGAGACCTTGTTTTGAGATACAGCTATTTAGGGCCACCAACTCCCTCCTGGGTTTTCAGGAGGAGGAGAGGTTTGCCATGAGGTGTATTCAAGGTATAGTGGGATCCACATCGAAAAGTTTAAAGTTCATGGCTACTTGAGTAATTGAGGCTCTTCCCAGATTCAGGGTATGTGAGGCATCTCAGAGGTGGTGCACACATGGATGCTACGTCGGCATGGCACTGCTCAGCAAAGAAGGTGACAAAACGTCCTAAGCCCTGAAACCCAAACCGGCCCTAAACCCTAAACCCTAAACCCCTAAACCTTAAACCCTAACCCCCAAACCCTTACCCCTAAATCCCTAAACCCTAAGCCGCGCACCGTAAGGAAGCGCTCTCCATGATGGCCCGCGTTGCGGTTGCCTTGGCCTTTTGCTTGGCCACCTGCACCCGAGGCCGTCAGGTTTTCTGGGTTTGGGATTTCCCGTTTTCAGGGCCTCTGTTTCTCCTAAAAAAAGGGACGGGAGGGCGGGAGGGTGCAGGGCTTAGAGTCACAGGCTGCTTTTGAAGTTTGGACTTGCAACTTCCATGATTAGCCGCTGTTTCAGAAGGCTTGGAGGTTGTTTTGGCTTGGTGTTCGGGGCCTGCGTGTACCAGCCCGGGTCCTGGCTTAGAGCTAAGTGCAGTGTTTAGTGCCTGGCTTTAAGTTCAGACGTTTGAGGTGTTATTTGGTGCGCCGTAAGTTTTTGAAGCTTTTGGTGTCGCGTTTGGGATGGCAGTTCAAGTCAAATGACTTTGGGCAGGTACCAGGCTGTAATATTTCTTCCTTGGCGAGACTTCTGAAGTTATTTGCAGCTTGTTTCAGGATTTGGGAAATGGGGCTCACTGTTGCAAGAAATTATCAGCATCTTCTGGGTTAGGGCTTGAAGTGACTACAGGGCTCTGACCACTTGCCAAGACTCTGGACCTAGGTTCCAGGCCGACCCAAAGTGTAGGGTACCTGAAATAGGTTTCAACAAACGTTGATAATTATCCAGCCCCTCGCGTGTTTGGTTCTCGGGGGTCCGCCGGTGATGGTCAAAGTTGCGGGCCTGGGTTCAGCACAACAAGCATCAGCAATTCAGTGAGCAAGTTTGCGTGCTGTACCGTAACCCTGTGATCCATAGTCATCAGAACACTTGTTAGAATCATGATGATACTGACGACAGAACATCACCAAATAATCACAATGTTTTCTCGTAGTAGCCGTAATAACAACAGGAATAGACGCAGTAGTAAGCAGAAGAACACTGACACGAACCATAGTTGCAATCGCATACTCACAGTGGTTTTCACAATCATTGCAGCAACCAGAAAAACGATAAAGCCCTGAGGTGCAGAAAGCTGGCAAGAGCTTTCATCTGCGTTTTTTGCGGATGATGACCCCTGACCTTGATAGTTACGGCACTCGTAGTAGCATTGGGGTTTGTAGTCCTGGGTTTAGGGTAGTTTTGGACTTTAGGATTTAGCATTGCTTGAGGGCTAAGGTTTCAAGGTGAGCCCATGGTTGAGGACTCGGGGTAGCTTTAGGGTTTCGGGCTTAGGTCAAGAAGCTAGGTAGTTGAGTACAAGATGTGACCCAATCCTGGGGAATCAGCTGGAGAAGAAAATGGAATGTGAAATGGAACCTGGGATCACTATTCCATGGTTTGCTCTCAAAATTCGACTCCCATTTTGGTACACCTAATGATTAGCTGCTGTAATATGATCTATAACCACAAGGGCCCATAATCTTTAAAAACCGTGGCGAGCAAATCAACTGACCGAGAAGCCAAGGTATGACCAGGTGATATCAAGTAGCTTTGTTGTTATTAGCATACCCTAGGGCTCCAGTTACCTAAATGGGAACTGGGTTCTATATACTCGAAAGCTACATAGCCCAGTAACCTATTTGGGTAACTGGAGCCCTGGGTCGTCATCTGATTGAGCCAAGAGATGGTTGTAATTCACATGGGTCAGCGTCAGTCTTGGGCTGTTACGCTGTTTTCTAAGCTGCCGTCAGCACATATAGGTGTTGCAGTCTAAGGTTGTGTGGATTTCTGAGATTTCTGACGCAAACAGCAAGCCTGGAACACAGGAATATTTTCTGTTTCTGATGCCGACAGCCCGCCGCCGGCCCTACACCAGCGCATTGCGCCGTGTGATGGATGAACCTCTAAGCCATATATTTTTTACCTATTAATAACTCCATGACCTCCTGCTCCGCCCCAGACCTTCACTCCCAAACTCTTAAACCGAAAGCCCAAGCACCGAAAAAGAAGCTTAAGCATTGTGAAGCAACATACCCAAAGCCTTGCCAAAGATAAAGCAGCAAGGACTGCGAGCATGGCTCTGAGGAAGCGTGCGCGCTGAATGCGCTCCAGGCGCGCAAAATCACTTTGTTGGACATGGGTGCATCATGGCCTTTAGCAATTTCAGATGCCCCACAGTAGTCCAAAAACATTTGTGAACACATCTTGTAAGTAATGTGGGCCTTGGTCTGTTCCCTAACCTGGTCTCATGCCCGTCACCTTGAGCGGGCTGCGGCTTACATGGGCCGTGGGAGTGTAGAATGTTGGCGAGGGCGAGTACATAGTTTTTGCAGGGGATGCGAGTTGGTTCATGGGCACATGCTCGGTTTACACAGTAGTGGGTTTGTATAGATCGACTGGGTTGCGACGATATGTTTCTGGCATGCTTTTGGAGATATGTACACACAAATCTACATTCTTCCTTTATGACCACGACTAGTTCTTGTGCTGGTTTGCGGGCGTGTAATCAGCTTTCTTTATCAGTTTAGGTTTCACAGGTGCATTTGGGGACTGCAGAACTCCGACCTGCTGTGTAGTGTGTGGTTTACGGCTTAGGGTCGTCTAGCAATCAGAAGACGTGTTTTTGGGACAGCCCCTCATCACATTGCACGCCTTGCTTTGCTGCTCTGAGTTTCCCGAGGTGGGCCGATGTGCTATCGATCCTTGGAGCAATGCTTTCGAGGGTTCTAGGGTGTCATGCGGTCAAATGGTCCCTTGTACAGAAATTACTGTTGGGTTCAAGACCATGTAAGGTAGGTTGGTTCTTCTTGTCGGTTTTGTGAGTGAACATAAGTCTAGGGTCAGGGGGATCTGGAGGGCCTGAGGATCTCTCAGCAGAATCGCCTTCAAAAGGTATGTTAATGTCTGGGTCGCTTCTATGTGGAGATTTCCACCCAAACGTGCGGATCCTCAGGCTATAGCCTCATGCGAGCTATAGTCTAACTTTCAGGAGAATAGACTGGAGTTCATATGCCAGCTAGGCTTTGTAGGTAATTGGTTGCAGCCCGGTCCAGGGCAGTTTCTGGAGCTGCCTCTTTGGGGTGTGTAGGTTTGAGGGCTGGGCTTGGGCGTTTCGAGGCTTCTGGCTACGAGGTCGTGGTCCCAGGCCCCTTCACACCACACCCCTTTGCTAGCCCCGCAATCCCATGTCCCCAGAGTTTGATATTCCAAGATTTGAAGTTAATCCCATGGATATGTCAGAAAGGCTTCAGGGGCACTTTTGGCTTAAGGCAAGTTACTTGTGCTTCAGGATGGGCCGTGAATGTAGGGACAAATATATGGGACAAAAATAGGCATCCATCTCCCCAGTCCCCTGCATGAACGCAAAGGTTGCGGTGATCAGGCTCTGTAAGCTTCATAAGCCTTCGTGCTCTATTACAGCCTCTCGGGGTCAGGATGTACTGTAGGGGTTTAGGGTATAGGGTTTAGGAGAAGTATCCAGGTAATGTCCTAAAGTTCGTAAAGTCTAGGAATAGAATTATGGTAGATAACACCAGTGTTGTGTAATACACCTACTTAGCCCAAACCACCATTATCATCCTTTCCATTTCGTTTTCCATTTTTCGTTTCCACTTGATAGTGCCCGCCATGCTCAGAGAATGCTCGAGCTGCGTTGAATTCAACACTTTCCATTTGATTCTCCAGTATTTTCTTGACCTCTTCACCTTACAATATGCCTACCTGAAAGAGGTTGATCACTGGAGCGGGCCTATTAATGGGGCGACGTTAAAGCACGCCCATGAAATCGATATCAAACCACCTAGTTGCGTTACTTTGCTGTGGTCAACGAACCGGGGGATGGGATCATCGCGCGAGTTTCAGGGGGTTCAGGGTTGAGAGGTCGAAGCCTTCAACAAATCTCAAGCTTCAAATCCTGAGACTTGCACGGTAATCACGCAAATCCCTAAGCATGTCCACAACAAAGCCCTAGATGATTTTGAGCTTTGAGCTTGGTGTCCGCACAGCTGGCTCCAAGATGACTTCCTTAGATTAGGGCGTAGGGGCAGAAGATGAATATTTGTTTACACCCAAGAAGGGATCCACCTTCACATTCTCAAAAGCCTTAGACCTAGATCATTAATCCATTCTCCCTTATATGAAACCCCCCCACCTCCTCTAATATTAAGTACTCCTGAACCCTGAACCCTAACCCCTGCATACTTTAGGGTGAGGAGGGTTTAATGTTAGGGGGAGCGGATTACATTAGGAATTCTGCCTTCCCCCTTGAGCCCCAGTCTGGTCCACAGGGAAACATCTGGTCCGTATATAGAACCCTATTTGAGCTATAGTCTTAACTCCTTAAAGGGGGTTCTATAGGAGATATATAGGGGACTACTTTAGGGGTTATTAAGGGGGATACTAGGAGTTTAGACTTAGCTCTTATGAGCCCCAAACCCCACGCGGGACGTGGCAAATCGCCTGGTTCTAACTCAAAGCCGAGGACTTCCACACAGAGGTGCGCGTCCCAATGATGGACATGGTCAAGCAGTTGAAGGCGCTGAGGGGTTTGGGCTTTCAAAACGGGCGTTTTTGGGAAAGTGTTTAGAGTTGCATGGGAATGAAGGGTTGTTGGGTTAAGGGGTTGCCTCAGAAGGTCCCGGAGCTAGTTGGTAAAATTCTTAGGGTCTAGGATCCCATTTCAGGTTTCTAGTGTTTGAGCTCAGCTGTCAGGCACATGTGCAGGCCACGGAGTGGTGTGTGCTTTGTTTGAGTTGATGGGGATTCTGAGGGACACCTAGGAGATGCCATATGCCGGTGGCTACCGTCCATGGAAAATCATGGAACCCCACCTATAGGCATCTTGCAAGCAGGTAATTGTGTGTGGTGGCCCCATTTGGGTTTCTGTGTTGTATAGAACTTCAAGACCTTTATGGGTTCAGTCTCCCAAGGCTTACAGGGCAAAGCTTCCCTCTCCTACCACCACAAATCGGAAAATCCGGTGTGAATATCAAATCGGGAGCTGAAAATAGTAGAAGTCCGTTCAACCCCCAAACGCAAAGGGCTAGGTAAGCCCCATCTGCAGTCGATCACCAACGACTTGGTGGTCAAGATCAACGATGCTATTGGTTCATCCGAGCAGGATGACTTGAGCAAGTTTCTGGGCAGAACGAGCCTGAGAGTTTAGGGTGTAGGGTTTGGGGTTTCTGGGCCGGGGGAAATATGATCAGGGTTTGAGCATTGGGTTCAGGGGTTTGGAAGACTGCAGGGCCTGTGATTACAAAGTCGTGCTCGTGGGGTTTGGCGAGCTGAAGCGCAGGGACATGACAAATGGCTTCTTGTTGGAGTTGATGCGGGCTGGAGATTGTTCCCTCCCTCCCGCTTCCTGTCGATGGTCGCCGAATGTCGCTGAGATGGCTGGTGACCGTGTCTGGGACACAGAGGCGGCTTGGATCCTTCGCCGATGGCTGCCGGGGACGGTAGGGTGGTTGTTCCAAAAGCTCTCAGCCACCGTCCGGGCTTCTGTGCTCGCGCTGCAAGGAGAGATGCCTCCGCCCTGCTGGAAGGGCCGGGTTCCTGTCCGTTCCCGTCCCTGCCTGCTGTGAGCAGTGACTTGAGCCACTCCTCTTGTCAGCAGCAGTTGCTGTCTTCAGAGGCCTCCGTCCTCGAACGACGCTTGCAGGCTGAGGTTCAAGTAGTCTTGTCTAAATGGGCCACGTTATGCTTCCACATCTCCTACATTCAAAAAGGAATCGCAACTCACTTACAAATCTTAACCCAGAACCCGCTATCCTGAATGATAGGCTCCCCACAGCACCTTGTGTCCCCTTCGTCTGGACCTCCATCCTAAACTCAACCAAAGCTCAAATTGGGTTCCCAAAATTAGGGACTTCTTTTCTGGAGTCCCCAGAGTAAGGATTATAGTATCTAGGGGTGTATAGTAGGGTACCCCTTTTTGTGGAAAGTACTAAATTCTCATGCCTATACGGGATGCTGAGGCTTGCGACTTCCACGCAGGCTGCCAACAAACTCCTGACAAGCGCCACTTGGGCTGAGAGCTGTCTATTGTAGGGGCGTCAATGGTGAATATTGTCAGGTTCCTAGTATATTTGTGGAAAAGAGTACCTCAAATAGACTTTAATATGATATTGGTAAGTATTGAGGCTCCTGCAGTAGTGTTTGGGCCTTTGGTTCAGGATGCAAGGGTTTAGGGGTGGGACCGAGATTTCAGGCTGTTGGTATCTGTTATTATATAGCCCTGATTGTTTAAACTCACACAAATGGGCACTCACTGTTGGAGACCCCAATGCATTGTGGATCATAAAGGGGGAGTGCAAGGCGGTCGAAGGGGTCATTTCTGAGAATTGATCTAGGGATGGCGTCTGGGGAGGTATATGTCAGGATGCAGCTTCAGGGTTTTCTGGCCGCAATTTTCCAAGCTTCCTGGGGGCCTTGGGTGGAAAAGATTATGATAATATGTCAGGTCCCCATGCCCATCACTTTGCCCAAGTTTTCAGCTAGGGTTCAAGGACGTGCTCCAGAAAACGGTGTGCAAGAGGTGTTTGCAATTTTTCAGCTCCTGTTAGCATGCCGTCATTGCGTTGTTGAAGTTGCTCCTGACTTGCCAGGGCTCGATAGAAGCCTCTTGCACCCTACGTGGGGTGTCAGTCTTTGAGATTAGCAGTTTTTTGCGAGATACAGGTAACCGGGGACGAGGCTGTTTCGGGGAATTGCAGGGGACTCGTAGAACCCGTCTCAGGTAGGTCCGGGGTTCCTCATACTGCTCAACAAGACCAACGCCATCGCTCGGGATCCAGGCGTGGGAGTTTCGATTCCTTGATGGAGAGTAACTAAGGTCTAGAGAAAGCTTAGCAAAATTGCACGGGCCTGTTGACGAGTTCTCCCAATCTATTCCCCTATGGCTTAACCTGAGCCTTTGCAGACATTTGATCCCCCAATAATGGGTATAGAGGGTCTTGGGGTGGACTACGGTGTCTACATTAAGTATGCCAGTAATCTGAGGGAAGCATACAGCAGATCAGGCTCCTATAGCACGCTTGTGAGGATTAGGCGATTGGGCGGGCAGCTGTTGAGGATGTTTGCGCTAGATGTGGAGGGAGGTTGGTTTGGCATCTGGTTGGGCTGCGGAAGGCATGCTCTGAAATTCTGTTGCGGGCTGGAAAGGAAGGCTCCCACCTGCATCGAAAGCAGCACGGTCCTTACGCTCGAAGTCCTCAACCAGAAAGACAACACAAGGGCGTACTACTTTTCATGACCTTGTTTCGTGGGCTCGCGGGCGCTGGGGCATGTAGCTCGCAGGCCTTGTCCTGCTTATTACGACCACTTTGACCTCCACTGGTCAACATTATGACGACACCTAAGACTATTCCTCCCTATCACTAGGTAGAAGAATGACTCCTGCCCCCTTGCATAATGAGAATACAATTATGATATCAGCATTTTCCAGTGGAATGCGAATCACGAGAAGGGCGGAGGTTTTACTACTGGTCCCGAAGCTCCATACAGTGGGCGACTGCTGTCAGGAATTGCGGAGCATGGGCAGCACGCAATCATGCAGGAGGACTCCATGCTGGAGATGCTGAAGCCTCTTGGGCTGCAACGAGTGGCCCATTGAGCGGACTGAAGTTGAGAACGCTGGATTCTGACTGTTTCAAAAATTGGCAGGAGCACAGAGGAGAGTAATCAGGTAGTTGAAGTGGGCACGGAAAATCCAGAGCCCAGCTAGTGTGAGCTGTCCTCAGCGCAGTGATGTTGTCGTCAGGTTAGCTCGAGCAGTCCCGTGCGTCATGCATTCTCAAGAACAAAGCTTGGCTTCACGAAGTTGGCCTGCAAAGAGATGAAGGTGAATGTGCAAAGAAAGGGTCTCCCTTGCAGCGGACTCACGAAAAAAACCTTTGCATTTTCTGAGGGAGTGGGGAGGCGCTTTACCCACAAATCCCTGCCCTACTGTATATGCTTCAGGTCGGGTAGTTTCCAAAGGGTTTGAAGCATTACAGCAGCACATAATGTGTGAACGCGGGGTAACGGACTTGCTACCCGCACCGTGCCGCTTGGAATTCTCAGTGATACTCAGGTTCACGATCGTTCACGCAGGCATCGTCATGAAGGAAGTTGCCTCTCGTCTTCTAGCAAGAGGGTCTGGTAGCCCTCTGCTCTTTCGCATAAACTTGTCCAGTCTTCAGCCAACAATGCTATTTTGCCAGGGTCCCACAAAAACCACGAGTTATTCGTGGAGTCGGGCTCAATTATACACACCTGGCACAATCCAGCACTTCTGAAAGGAAGCTCCGTAAACAAACCACAGTAATCTAAATTTCTACCTCCTTAACCCCGAAGTCGCCAAGATCTATTCCACCGGTCACCCGATGGATGGCAACGTCAGCTTTGCAACCCACATCAACTCTGATGCTCCTTGACCGCAGTGATGAAGTTGGCAAATGGCTAGGGTTTGTGGTAGGATTTCCGGTTGAGGGCTTGTTTGCCAATTTCGGCATCAAAGCGCTCGAGGTGCAACTTGGGAGTATCCATAGTCACAGTTTGTGATTAGTACACATGAACTTAGCTTGGTGTAGTGTGCTTGCCTGGGCCGAAACTGCCTCACATCTTGGATCAGGAGCCAAACGAGCGATGGGCAGCCACGGACTTTTTGCTTTTCCATGTGGCTGACAGTAGCACAGCAAACTGTGCACCGAACCCACCAGAATCCCACGCAACGTCCCTTGCCTCGGCCCACGCATGCAGTTTCTTCCTCCAAGCCCTTCTCATTACCCCGTTAAGGTCCTTATGTAGTTGTCATATACGATACCCCCAAACCCCAGTCTAATTTGTGGGCTCAAAGGAGACCTCCCAGAAAGCATGGAGTTCCGAGGCGCAGGCAGCTCGGCTGTGGCTGAAGACTTCGCTCATGACCGCCTGGGAGGGTGCCAAGGACTGGTGTGATGGGTTTAGGACTCTAGGGCTGTAGGGTTTAGGGCTTTAGGGTTTGGGGTTTGCGGATTTCTATCGGTATCGGGTTCTCCCTAAATCAACAAAATAAGGGCATTCTGAGTCCAGAAGCTCTAGGGGACAATTAAAACTACTCAGACATGCATTCCCAACGCCCCTAAACCCATGAAACTTACGATGGTGAGATCAGATAGCCGCTCATCTTGCGTGGAACATGAAGCTTCAAGCTCCTCTTGGAGGGAGCGGGAAATTCGCCAGGTGTGTTTTAACCCAAGCTGAAAGTATACAGTTGAACTTTTTCTAGGACTGCGGCTGCTTTCCAGGTCTGACTCGTGGTTTGGAGGAGGTCTGCAAACCCTGGGTTGCTTTTAAGGAATTAAGATTAAGCACCATGATGGGTATACATAGTAATTAATATGGTTTCCCCAATATAGCCACGCTAAACCCTTAACCCCAAATCCCAAACCCCAAACCCCAAACCCCAAACCCTAAACCCTATATACTCATTATAGTAACTTAAATTAAGTTCCTTAACAGCAAGCCAGAACCTTTCCCAGTGCTGGAAGCTGGCTTCAGCAACAATCTTCCCTATGATTTCCTGCAGCAAGAAGTCCTCTGCCCCTAAGATTAACCCCCCCCACCCTTAAAGGGGTACATAGGGGTTACGGTTAGGGTATAGGGGCGAAGGTTTGTTTACTATAAGGGTTTAGGATGATCAAAAGGAAGCTCACTGATTCCTCTTTAGGGCAGGCGCCAAAGCGCGCACAAGCAGCGTTGCGCCCACGGCACTAGAAAAAAAAGGGTTTAGGGTTCAGGGTTTAGGGATGATATTAAACCCCCCGCCCCCCTGAGATAAGATGTTCCCAATATACTATGATATACCGCAATGGCGAGTATTTGATATTATTGGGGGTGGGGGTGTTTAATATCAGGGGAAGAGAATTAATACGTACTACCGCATTAGTACCAACTACCGCAGTATCACGAATGTTGCCGTCCTGGTCTGGGGAGCTGGATGGGTTCGGAGGATCAGCTGCCCCGAATCAAGAATCTCGTGCCGCTCGGTGTATGTTAAGGGTCCCAGTCGTTTTGGGGATTGCCGTTTCGTTGGTCTTGGGTTTTGAGACAGGGCCTTCTGCTTCAGTGTTGAGGATTTCTACTTCGACAGACATCCATGGTTTCATTTCCCTCTGAGCCACAGGTACGGAGTGGCCGGAAGACGCGATAGGCACCTCAAGAATTGCCAAACTTATTCTTTGTAATCTGCATAGCTAGCACTGAACTCAATTACATTCCGACCCTGTAAACTATTATCCATGCCCTGATCATGTAGTTGCGCTGGTGGATGCCCAGACTCTCGAGCGCTGAGAGAGCCAGAAACTAACCATTTTTCCAGGAGCCCAAGAACCCCTGTCCCATTTTTTGGTCCATCATTGGAAACCATCCTCAAAGTTCAGGAACTCTCCAAGATATACAGGACACTGTAGGTACAACAGATGCAGCAATCCCCTAGATGAATGACATGCCAAGTGTAAAGTTCACCCAAAATCCCCCAACAGTCCAGCAGCCTAATCTCACATCTTCGCGGCATCAGGAACGGCAGCTATGGCTCCCCCACCGTGCTACTTGGCCCCGGTTTTCTTATTGGCTCTTTGTAGGGAAAAAGAATATATAGTGATCATCTAGGGGTTGTATTCCAGCTTTCCCTTCCAAGAACCAGCAAGTTTATATAGGCCTTGGGTCAACTCATGTCGAGGTTCATTTTAGCCTGACTTCTTCGCAGCTCCTTGCGCAAAACCCTACCAAGCCGTGTCGGCTCTCCCAGAAGCAGTTCAAGAGCACCAACAGCAGATTTCGAGAACCCCCTGTGCACTTTGTTGGGGCAATTCTATCTCCACACGAGGGGAACCATGCTGAATTATCACTGATCCCCCCCAAGAATGTACCCCTCCCATCTATAATGGTACTCTGGGAGATATTCTTACTTGGGGGATGTGGGGTTTTTATTTCAAGCGGGAGGTCATGAAAAGAGTGGTGAACCAACAACCTAAAACCCCAAACGCTCAACCCAAAACCCTAAACCACCTAAACCGCCTAAACCCTAAACAGTGTCACTCCTGCCCAGGATGGCAAAGCAGGCCGACCTGGGCAGGGTTTTGAGAGTCCGTGCTTGAAGACATTTCTTTAGTTCTTTTACCCTTGCTGCTTACGTAATCCCTATAAAACCATAGATGAATGATGTTTAATAGGCCTGCGAACCTACCCTAGTTTAGGGGTAGGGTTTCAGTTGAACGCAAGCGCTTGCGTTGTAAGCCTGTCCATTTCCAATGAGACAGCACATGGTGAGCGGCAGCCAGAAAGCTTGTTTGTCTGTTCGGGCCAAATTGCCCAAGGCTGAGCTTAGGGCTTTGCACCCCTGAAGTTTGGCATCATTCTGAAAATTCTGCACTTCTTCCAGCACCTGCATGATTCTGTCAGCACCTCGGAGCAGGCGGCGTGTGCGTCCAACACCGCCACGCAGATCTCCAAGCCACTTTGCCTCACCCCAGTCACCGGGGATTCCACAACTCGGTAGGGAAGGACGACTTTTCATATCATGCAGAGATCTAAGCTGGAGCAGCGATAGATCCCCCCAAATTAGTCCTAGAATGGTGTGTGGTGCATCCCTGAAGTAAGACTTCCTGGAGTTGGAGTTAGTGAGCTCCAGGATTTCTTTGGAATGTTGCAGGATGAAAGGGCCTGTGCAGACTGTGCCGGCCCGAAGCGAGCGCGTGTCAAGTAATCCTGTCCCGAATGTTCCCCGGACAACGGAGAATGAGCTGGGGTTGAACATGAACAATAAAATTTCAGCTGGGTTTACACAGGGGTCCCTTTCCCCTAACAACAAGTTCTCCAACAATATATACATGTATTTGTACCTATGTTCTAGGGTATTTGTTCGGATGGGGGGCCTTGCTGATAAAAGAAGGGGAGGATCGGTAGTGTCAATGAAGATTGTGGGTTGTTTTCGACCCACTGCCTTTAATCTTCTTAGGACAGGCGTTCATCAGCCTCACTGGTGCTTTGTAGGGAACGGAGGAATAGAGCCATGTATCTTCTAGCCTCTACATAATTCCATCAAATGATCCCACCCCACAGTCCTTCATTCCTCAGTGGCCACCAGTAAGCAGTCCTGTCAAACGCAGTAGGGCATGGAGGAATTGGATCTAGGGACTGTGATAAGGGATTTCGGTTTGTACTACTATACAGATCCATTCCTCCTTTCCCTCCAAGCCATCAGCAAGATGGGCGCGCATCCTTGTGTTCCTTGCTCTAACTTGCAAGAGGGGACCATGCAAGACCTTTAGTGTCCGAAGAGGTCTGGAGGTTGCAAATTGGAGGTTGCTGTCTTCTGGAAGTTTGTATCGGCAGAGGTACTTTTCACCAAGATCAGTGGCTCCCAGCCGGGACTCCGGAGCCCACAACATTTGTTTTGTTTAAGCTAGGGACATGCCCAGAGAAGGGGTCAGCCAAGTAGCGTTTTCCATTGCCTCAGCCCTGAGGTGCGCGTGGGGGGCAGCTTTAAATCCCTAGTATGGACCCATGGTCCCTTTATGCTCCGTGCATATCCATTGGGGTTTGTAGGGAACCCGCAATTTGAGAAACTCCCAAATTAACAAACCACCCTTTAAGCTGGATTGACATTTCTGCGAGGCCATTGCAGGCCCTTAGTAGATGCGCGGGGATCTTTGCGCAAAGCATGACAGCATCACATCTGTGCTGCAGGACAAAACTCGCCTTATTCTAGTAGGAGCTCTTGTTGTTGGGGTTTGTTCTCTCATGTCCAAACAGGGCCCTTCGCAGTTGGCTAGGTGCTTAGCCTAAGTGGTGTGTTTTGCCAGAGAGCCCACTATACATTAATTAAGGATTTATGTGCGACACTCCTTAACGAACGGGTATTCAGCTCCCTGGGTTCTTGTAAGCGTCAAGGCTTACAACTCTGTACGCGGACATCGTGTCGGCGGGCTCAGACTGCAATGCGACTGATCTGCACGGGTTTAGGGGTTGAAGACAAACAGGGATGATGGGTTGGCAAGCTGATCCGAAGCATGGTACTTTATGGGTACACCACACGGGCCCCTTATGAACTACGCAGGGGAGTGTTGGGTTTCATGGTGAGGGATGGTGAGGGCAAAAATCAACGACCCCGTGAGAAGCGAATCAGAGTATCCAGAAGCAGTCTCACATACAATCGGCACTTCCTGGAGAGACCCATCTGACACATTTACCAAAGCCTTCAAAGAGAGCTCCAATTTTTGCAGGACTAGCATGGGCCTCTCATTTCAGCAAAATCTGTAGGTGCTGAGCTGGCAGGTGTAATTTTTGAATGCTATGTGCCAAACCAGGGTAGCTATTTTGGAAACTTGATTAAGGTGCTGCATTGATGAGGTGCTTGTTGCATCATCTCTTGCTGAACGGCTGGCCGACAAGTCCTCATGTCGAAGTGCCTCCTCTATCCTCCCCTTGCACTCACTGCAGAAAAGCATCGCCGAACCCGAGTCTATTTCTCAGTTTTCCATATCACCTCCAGGTTAGCGATACAAGTCTCTTCAGCGAGGAGGATTGCCAGCTTCTTGTCGGAGATTTTACGGTGTCCGGGGTGGTGAGGATACTTAGAGATGAAGTTTTGCTCAGCACGTATCAGCAAAGCGATCAGGGCAGCTTAACCAGGGTGCAGTTTACTTTTACTACAGCCCCTCCGTCCCACAGGTAGTGGGATTTCTGGCCTGGGACGAGAGCAGTTTCGGGTCGGGGTTCAGCCAGGTCTGGAGGTAATTCTGTAAACTCTGTAACCCCTAACCATCTTTTTTTAGGGTTCACGGATATTCTCCCCAATAATGGAGAAGCCAATGGAAAAGAACATTGAAAATTACATGGAAACTGTGGATTTTACATCCTGAGCCCCTCAAAGCTGAACAAGCTGACATTTGTGGCTGCTTAAGGAGTGGGGGAGTGATGCGGGGAGTGCCAATGCGATTTTGCCTTTGCAAATTATGACGATTTGCTCACATTGCTCCGGCAAAGCACTAAGCAAGGCATTCAAAACTTTGAAGCTTTGTTTGTTCCTAAGGTCCAGTGCCCTCAACGTCCAGTCCGGCATTGACGCAGTGATTGAGACAGGTGCTACCATGATGTGCCTTGGGCCCGCGCAGAAAAGATTGAGACGGAGATTTTAGAGTTTTGCGTGCTTGGGGTCCTCGCACCATAACATGCAGACTATGTCATGCCCAAGATGCCCCGCGAAGAGCTATAGCGAAAAGTGCTGAATTATTGATGTGGGTGCTTGGGGGGGCTGGTCAAAATCAGTAATATTTAGAAGGTTCTTAAGAATCGTCTTGAGACCAAAAGTCCCCGCGCAGTGCTTCGCAAGTTGTCAAGGGCGGCCGCCAGCAGCTTAACCCTAAGCCCAGGAAGTTCTCTTTCCATGACCTTCAGGGCCGCACCAGCTAGCTCTTTTGAAGCTGCAAGCACAGGGGTTTTTCTAAGTCATTCGCTTCTTAGTCATTCACTTCTTTCAATTAAGTTTAGCCCTATTCCGAATTATCCATGAGCCTCAAAACTGTCAATGACCGAGGCAAGAGTGTAGCCATTTGCACTATACTCCTTAAATGGGGTTATATGAGGATTATTTAGGGGGACTACTTTCGGGTTTATTAAGGGGGATACTAGGAGTTTAGACGATAGCCATCTGCACTATGCAAGGTCTAAGGGTCCAGGCTTCAGGTTCAAGGCTTGGGGAGAGGAAATAAGTATTAAATCCTGAGCCCTGAGCCCTGCCTTGAACCCGAGCGGTATTTCATTTTGCGGGAAGTCACAACAAAGATCAAGCTATATCCCTTTTGCCAAAGATACCTGGCTCAACCAACAAGGAACTCTACTCACCTGCTGAAGCCCCTCATCATGGAGCCCTGCAAGAAAACACTCAAGGTATAACTGGGCTATATACTGTAGCCCCACTAGTTACTATTGGCATTGTAGATAACACTAACGTTTCGCCGCTTGCCTGACTACCCCCTAGATTCTATATCCCTATGCCATCCTAGTTTCCAGTCCATCTTCCATTTGATTCTTCATCATAGGCATGTTATCCCTAAACCCAACATAATCCCCGTGTATAACTCCCATACACCCCTAGCTCGTCCCGACATAAATTCATATATGTATATATGTGTGTGTATGTATACATACATACATACATACATACATACACACACATATATATATATACACATACATGCGTACTAAACCCTCAGCCCTAAAACCGCCTATCTACTCAACGCACAGTCGAGGTGGAACTGCTACAAAAGCAGCGCCTTGGCTCCTAAGGGACAGGACTTTGGCCATTATCTAACCCTAAGGGTCCAAGGACCCAAATATTAGGGTTTTAGGGCCCAAATACCATAATTATTAAAGGTATTTGGGCCCTGAGGCCCTATTATTTGGGTCCTTGGACCCTTAGGGTAACCTGTAGTCTAAACTTCTGAAAGGGGGGTTATACGGGATTATATACGGGACTACTATAGGAGTGTAGACAATGGCTCATTTGATACCCTCTTTAGGGACCCTGAGGATGCTACGGGATACAAAAATTGGCTCTGTTGAGGGCTGCTTGAATGGCTTGGAGAGGAGGGGTTATCAACGTGTTGTGCTATTGACTTGGCGTTGTGTTTTTTTAATACCCAAGCAGTCTTCATGCGTCCTGGCTATTTGTAGGGAATAGAGGAACGGATCCCTACAATAGTCCTTGTACCAGCCCGTATCGAAGTCCTCGAAACCCCTTCGTGCCTTCCCTGCCAACCACTAGCAAGTAAACCCTAAACTTTGCATGTCCCTGCCGACACCTACCTTCCATCTCATTTCCATATACTTTTCTATTTGACTCCCCATTCCCTACCCCAAGCACTAAACTCAAAACCCCTACATAATAGTTTACATTTCGCTTTCCATTCGCCTGTCAAACTGTTTTTCCATTGTTACCCTTGCCTTGGAAACTGTTGCGGCCCTGTTTCATCTGAGTAATACTTTCTATGGGGCTGTCTTAGTCTCGAATATAGAACGAGAGTTTATCGCGCCTGTTGGTATAGTATTCTATGAGAAGAATATAATCTTACCTGGTTGAACCACCAATCTTCGAGAGGTTTGTTTGGATCCCGAACCTAAATACAGTAGGCTTCCTTTCGCTGTCATTTTCACAAAAGCTCCAGACCCAGACCTACGCTTGATTGCTTCCACCACGAAGTCCCCCATCCCAAGACTTCCACTTGGTGAAGTTTCTAAAGTTTGCCCTGTCCTTTGTAAAGTTGCCGGCAGTGCTGGGTTCGTTAGATGCGAGAGCGAAGTGTTGGAACTTGAGACATGCCCTCAAACTCTGCCGCTTTGGAAAAGTGAGCTCTGGAAAACCTGGAATGCTCTTGGAACTCTTATTCATCATAAACTTATCATCTTGTGGCACATGGCCCCATTTGTTTGTAGGCAGTGGCTGAGACCAACGAAACATGTAGTATCTGCACCTCGTGCACGCAACATGTCTGACAACCGCTAGATAGCAATCACAAAGGCATAATGAGAGTTTGGGGTGCTTCTAGTTGGTATCAAACTATTCTTCTGGGGCTATTGAAGATTATCGAAGTACCCTTCCCTCAAGCCCTAAACCCTGCACGTTAACACTCAAAATCAAGAAGTGTGTGCAAAACCGTAACAGTGTTATCTACTTTGGACATTCTCAAAACTATGGGCCCCTGTTGCTTATAGATTATATCAGGCACGTAATTTTTACCAAAATGTGACCCCAATTTTGGGAACTTCCCATATCACCCCTATGTTACGCCTAAACCCTCAACCCGAAACAGTAAACCTTGATTTCACTTGTATAGCGTGCCCTGGCTGCGCAAGACCCTTTGGATGGCACGGCAGAGAGAGAGAAACCCTAAACCCTAAGTTTGGGAACTACCCACTTGCGGCCAAGCCTCAAAGCCCTTCGCTGGTTCCCTCGACCAGGCTGGGTTTGCGCCAAAGGCATTGCCAAGACCAGCCCCTGGCTCTGCACAAGTGATGTGATTGGGTATTTTTACCGAAGGCTTATGTTGGGGTTATATAAGAAAATGTCAAAGTTATACAGGCTTCATATAGGTGTTCTATAGGGTTCTAAAGGGATGTTCTGTAGAAGTTATACAGGTATCCAATGAGGGCTTTAAATGAGGGATTTAAATGTTGTGAGGTACACCTTGTTTCAGGAAGAAATTTTGAAAAGATTTCCTGTTTTCCAAGCAGTAAAGTAATCACACCTCGTGTTTGGCAAGCCGAATCTTGCTTTGAACTAGCTTGGTTTTCGTGACCTCTAGAAAGTCACTGGCATGGTGTTAAACGCTACAATGCACCGGCTCACAAAAACTGCACCTGTCACAAAGTCTCTGTATGTCGGGGTGAGGGCGGGAGTCCTACGAGTGAGTATTCAGGAAGCATGTACGGAGGGGGGGGGGGGCATGTCATGTCATCATAAGGGGAGTTCATATGGCTTTGGCGGTTGTTGCATCGAGGGTTCTACGCGCGAATGCTGAGAAGAGCCTTCGACTTGATGGGTATCCCCCTCCTGATGTGGGGGTTTTAGGGTCTAGCCTTGGGGGTTTTCTGGGCTATTTGAGCCACAGCTGGAACCCAACGGTGGAACAGTCGTTCTATCCGCAGGAAGGTGGGTTCCTGCAGGCTCTGGTGATCCTTCAGCCTAGACATGTTGGATGCAACAAAGGGTGTACTTTCCTTCCTGATGCTTGAAGAAGTGAGGCAACCACCTCATCAAGTCCTTCATGTCCACGATCGTGATGAGCCTCTGCTGTAGTGTGAGTTGAGACATCATGGCTTCGGCAAAGATGTACGCAGGGTTTCAGGGGTTCCGGATGCCGGAGCGTTCAGCTTGTGCCACTCATGGAGACCATTGCTGCTGAATACACACAGGCCCCCGCAATCTTTCAGACACCATGTTATGACCGCATACGACCGCTGCCCCGAAGCTTTGACAGACTTCTGAGCTGGTCATGGCCAGAACACTCGCCAAGCTCAGGTCTTGTTTTCATGTCTTGATACCCCCCACCAGTACTGGAAAATCAGCGTTCTCACCATTGCTTCCGGACGGACCATGTTGTATGGCCATGTTCATGTGGTTCGTCAGCGAAGGGAGTTTCTAATTTTCAAAGTAAAAAGCGCAGAAATTCGGCCACACGACAGGGATCTTCCATGCAACGCGAGAAGGTGCTTCCTGGATGCTACCGCGCAGGTAATGAAATCCCGGGCTACTACTTCACAATCCAGAGCCAATTCTCTTTAGAGGCTTCTTCAGCTACACCCCTGTACAACTAGAAGCCATCAGTTGGAGCTTCCAGCCCAGTGCAACAGCCTCTGCCTTCCAAACCCGGCCGGTCAACCTCCTGACTTGCAATGGTAAGCCCATTGGCCTAGCTACTGGGAAGGCTCAACTTTGAACCGGCAGCTATTTGTCCCAAATTCTCTCAATCTGGCCACGTTTTTTCTAAAGGTGCCCTGCAACGCATGTTGAAGATAGGCATTCTAATCCTAAGGACCAGCAGGAATCAGGATTTCTGTCAGGGTGTTGGTCACCCTCGAGGCTTTAGGGTAAGATGCTGTTTTATCTTGTCAGGGATTTGCAGCAATAGGGATGCCCCATCATAGACTCCGAAATTTCAGGACCCAAAATGGCAACCCCTAATTTTGGGAAGCCCCCATGTTGCGACTCCGGTGCCAAGGAGGGATGCCTGCAAGTCTAGCGACAGCATCTCACTGGCTGTGTGCCGCGGCATTTTTTGGGCGGTATGATGGGATAAAAATTACCTTTCGGGTGTCCTCCAGGTAGGTTGGCAGATTATAGAGTATGTTCTAGGATAAAGCGGATTCTGGGGGGAGACTTTATGATGTTCTGGGATGTTGTCAACTCCCGCAAGTTCAGCCCGAGCCGCTAAAACAATCCCAACATGTTCTACAGTCTGAGGGGCCTAAGCCCCTTAACGCACATACCTGAATTTCCGACAACCATTGGAACACCCTTGTTCAGCTGGACTCCTTTGAGTAAGCGCCCACACTCCAGACCCCCAAAAAGCACATCTCAGAAGCCCTGATGCCTTGACGTGTTGCAAGGTGCAAGAGCGAGTCCTTCCAGCTCCTGGATGGGAACGATCTCCTCCGCCCAAATCCCACCCCCTATGTAAGACAATGGGCAGAATAAAAGTCCTGAAATGGGATCAAGTATTCGGGGCTGGGGGGGTTTTTATGTTCAAGGCGAGGAGTGTATTCGTGGGGTTTGTGCAAGATGTCAATTTCAAGGGTTCCATATTCGCGATTGTGGCTTTGGCCAAACATCTTGCATTTGCCTTAGCCCTAAACCCACCCTCTTGCAACTGAACCGGACGCTAAGCTCCTTATCCGGATCTCTGCACATGTTTTAGGCGTTAGTATTCTATGGTTTGTAAACAAGATGCAGTTTGCACAAGTATGCGAGTTTAATGAAGACCCTGCCATACTAGCATCCTTTTTGTAGGGTCTCCCTTAACAATTGCCCCCTACTTTCTGGAAACCTCCAAATCAAACTTTAGGCTCTACTCCTTATGCCTCCGCCCCGAGCCTTCTCCTTGGGTCTCAGATTTCTCAAATACGCTGACTTTTATTCTTGGATTAGGGTGGCCAATGCGTTGAGAACGACCAAATACTAGATTACTAAAGAGTCCCCCTTTGCTTTTGAATGCTTTGATAAGCCCTGTACCACCCATATGTCATTGCCCCTACGCCATAAACCACTTTCGAAGGAAACTCTCAAGGCCCATGACTTGTGAATAGCGTTTTGCCTCGGCCTATGGGAACTGATGGGCCCACCCATGTTGCAAACTGTATGACCCATCGCCGAGAAGAATTATTGCAGACACCCCAAACTGCCCCAAACCCTAAGCGTACACCACCAGCAATCCTACTGCACAAGATTGCCGTGTTGACCTCTGCCCTTAACCCCGAACTCACCATTCCAGCAGATACGCCGGCATTCCCAAGAGCCAAAATCCCAAAGCCCTGAACTGCCTAAACTTCCTGAAGATCAATCCCAAGAAGGGGCCCTGACCCCTAAACCCTCCTGAAGAAGGGACGAACCCGGGATAGAGGCTATTGGCCAGTCTTTCGTCGGCTGCGGAGAACATGTTCGTGGCATGACGCAAGTTGGTTTGTGGAGGGTTCAAGGCCCAAACAGGTTGGGACTCGGCTTTTGCTGCTTCAGGCTTTGGAGGTCTTGATCTCGGATTGAGCGCTTGTGGTACTCATCACTGTAAGACTGCTGGTAACGTACTTGGCACATTCGCAGAAGATGAAGAATGATTGCATGATGGATGGCCGGAAGGGCCTCAGGACTGTTTGCTTTTGGATAGCAAGCAAGAGCCTGGCTCGGCCCTTCTGTTGCAACATCTGCCAATGTAGTGTAAAGGGTGTGTGTGCAGAGTCAACTGAAAAAGCAGTTTGGCACTCAGGAGACGTCAGGCGTGTGCGAGTCGTATTGCAAGGGCAAGAGGAGGTGAGGTGCTGGTTTCACTGCAACGTCCGCTTTCTCCAACAGTAAACCGAACCAGCCCCAAGTTTCAAACAGTCGATTATAGTATATTATAGTGTATTCTGGTATATTATAGTATATTACCGTATATTATCGTATTTATGGTATATTATGGTATATTATGTGCAGGACGCATCTTGTGGCTGGAAGGGTTTAATGTGGAATGGATGGATTCTTCCTGGGCTCTGACGATAGAGTCAGGCGGGTATATCTGAAGGCTACATCTGAAGGCAGCTATGCTAGGATGCCAACTGCAGAGCTCGCCAGATGATGGCCAGAAAATATGACTTTTTGGGAAGCATGTGCGCTTCTATGGACTCGCTTTGGGTCAGCGCAGTAGAAACCCCAAATGGTTCGGAGGTAACAACAAGGATGCCATTTCAAAAGCTGGCCTTCATTCAGGGGCTTACTCCACCCTTGGGCTCTGAGTTTCATGCATGCTTGAGGTATTTGTTGACACCACGCTTAACATGGACCCGTCGTCAGAGTGGCAGGTTCAACATCACAATTGTGCAGACCACCTGCTTACCGATAAGATGAGCTGTAGTCAAAACTCCTCACAGAGTTCTCAACGTTGCGTGCTCAGCCATCTGCACGGTTGTTTTTTTGAGACACCCCAAGTTGAAAAAAAATCAGCCCGAAAGGACGAGCCGTATGCAGCCTGCCAACGTCTTTAAGTGCACGCTGTCTCCCTTGAAGGAGTTTTGAAAACTGCTCGGATGGTACTGGCGGCACAGATTGCAAGGGCACGCCTAGATAATTTTCTTGGTGAGGCTTGCACTCAGCATGGATGATGGGTCTCACAGAGGATGCCCCGAGAACCGGGACAAAATGATGAAAGGGGAGGCGCTGATTTTGGAGCTGAAGGTATTTAGCCGGGTGTTGGTTGCAGCGTTGCCCAACCAGACTCACGGCGTGCCGGGCATAGTTCGAATTATCACAGCACTGCATTCAATTTTTGGGATCCTTTGGGTGGAGAAGATGCCGCTGAGGAGTTGCTCGTTCTTGGTGTTTAGTCTTAGTTTCCTGCTAGGCTTTCATTTCGTTGCGTGCCCTTGCATGTTTCACACTTTCCACAAGAAGCGAATAGGATGTAGTGTGCGTTTTAGGGAGGGACAAGGACCGCCCGCCCACAGAGGAGTAGCATGGAAGAAGCTTCAGGGAGGGGCAGCGGAGGCTTTGCCATACCACCTCCTTTTCTTGTGCTAACAATGATGCTTTGTCGTTGAAGTGGAAGATCAAATAGACAATGGAATGCAAACTACTACAGCTAGGGTTGTATATCAGATGGAAAAGAAAATGAAAGACGTAATGGGAACTGGTATTCTATATAGCCTAAGCGCAAGCCATGTCGCAAGTTTGCGGCACTTTGAACGTGGACCCTGCAGTTTGCTGGAATGACGAGGAAGTGTACTCAACCGCAGCCCAACCCTAGCTCTCGAACCACCCTAAACCTAAACCCTATCACGAAGTCATGGTGCTTTCGGGCAGCCCATGCTGTATGACAACCGTAGATTGCCAACCCTCAGAATCTCCAATTCCCAGGACTGGAAATCCTTTGGGCACCCTCCCTGCCCACTTTTGTAATCCACGTCCATGCATGGTTGCAAAAAAGCAAGGACAAGGTGGGGCCTTTGGGATGGGTTAAGCAGGTTGAGGTCCAGAGTCTGAGTGCTGGTTCATCAGCTTCTGGGATAGGACTCCGCTTCATCTAGGCTGCAGGTGTGATCAGGTCCACTCAAAAATGATCAAAAATGGCCAGATGACGAGAAATCCATGCCTGCAGTCTTGACATACTTCGATGATCTTTGACGTTTGTCCGTCCTAGAGTTCAAAATTGTTCGAACAAGAAGCCGATTTCGAAGCAGAATTCTATGTTTTGAACGCACTGATGCACGATTCTGTGTGCGAGCAATTGAAGATAGATGGGCTGGGTATGTTCGACGCTACAGCAATGAAGGACTTTGGGGGCGTGGGAAAGATCGCAGACATTTTGTTCATTCCTGTCGCTACATTGCATCTATAATCCCTGCTGCAAGGAGATTTAATCCCAACATCGCTCCACACGTTGTTGCAAGATGGTGGAGGCTACCGCCCGCTGGACGCCTCGCAGGGCAACGTGGCAGGGGAGCCCAGTGTCTGGGGTATAGGATCCGGGGAATTTTAGGGTCATTTCCCACAAACCACTCCAGCCCACATCATTCCTTGTTCAAAAAGGACTGGACTGCTGCCCTTACTGCCCAGTCCAGCTCAAAACATGTAGGGTTTACGGTTCATGGCAGCGCGAGCAGGGCGACTTCGTAGCTCCACGCTTCCGAGACCATTCCTTTACCAACGATGGGCCCTCGGCAACCTCAACCATAAAGCTCAGCAGCCCATGACGATCACACGACAACTATGGGGTCCTTACTACACAGGCTGAGGCTAGCAGATCTCTCTGATTGTTATCCCCAACCATCAATAGCCCTCCCCATCCCTACATCATCTTAATTGACTGAAACCCCACATTCCAAGCTCTCAACCATCAAGCCCCAAACTGCAACATTACCTGATCCTGTATCCTAAACGCAGAGACCGGATTAAGCCGGTGAAAAGGACAAAGCTCGTCACACCGCAGCCCAGGAGCTTTCCTTGCTCCGCGCTCGCTTTGACTTGCGAATCCCTGGCCCGCTTGTTCTCAGCTTGGCCTTTCAGAAGTCATAGTGGGATGTCTAAAAGCTTGCTCTGAAAGCGACCTGATCTGAGAATATCATGACGGTTTGGAGGGCCCAAGGCATGTGTCAACTGCAGCGATGCGTCCGAGCGGTGATTGGAACGCAGTGCACCGGACAACATGAGCGTCAGCTGCATTTGGCTTGTGTAGACGGGGCCCGGGCAGCCAGCATGAGCATCAGCTGCATTTGGCTTGTGTAAACAGAGCCAGGACAGCCAGCATCATGAGCATCAGCTGCATTTGGCTTGCGTAGACAGGGCCCAGGCAGCCAGCATCATGAGCATCAGCTGCATTTGGCTTGTGTAGACAGGGCCCAGGCGGCCAGCATCATGAGCATCAGCTGCATTTGGCTTGTGTAGACGAGGCCCCGGCAGCCAGCATCATGAGCATCAGCTGCATTTGGCTTGTGTAGACAGGGCCCAGGCAGCCAGCATCATGAGCATCAGCTGCCTTTGGCTTGTGTAGACGGGGCCCGGGCAGCCAGCATCATGAGCATCAGCTGCATTTGGCTTGTGTAACCGGGGCC